AATGAAAATGAAAATTAAGGAATAATAGAGGAGTTTAAAAAAGACTTTAAAAAGAGGACTTTAAAAAGAAATAGGAGAGAAAAACAAGAAAAAGAAAAAAAAATTTTTTTTCCCCTAATTAAAAAAAGCGTAAAAATATATGAAAATGAAAGTTGAGGAGTAATGGGGGAGTAATAGGGAATTTTAAAAGAAAATAAAAGAGAAAAAATAAAGAATTTTAAAAAAGGAAAGAAAAAAAAATTTTTTTAATTAAAAAAAATATATACATATATATCTAGGAATTTCTCTGGAGTTGTTGCGGTCAGCGTAGGTTCAGTTCAATTTCAGATAGCTCCTCTTTCCAGCTTACACTTCTCGATATCTATAGGCCCCTTCTGGTGTAGTCGGTGTTACCTTCTGGGATTTTAATCTGTTGCACCGGTCCTTTCTGAAGCGGTTCCCTTTGTTTATTTGGCTTCTGTTTGCCGTCTCTTTGGTGTCTAATTTCCTCCCTGACACAGGCGGGTGGAGGTGATCTCTTATTTAGGTTCGCTAGTTCAGTTCAGTCCTGCTACGGGGAGGGCGGGGCGCTGCAGACAGACACCGCTCTGTGTGGATAGCACTCACCGTGTTCCGGCCACACTGGGTTTGCCCCACTCACGGGTGTCAGTGCTTTCGCCGTCTACACTGCTCAGGCTCCCGGCTGCTCTATATGGAGCGGGCCCTGCGTTGAGTGCGGTTCCAGTTTTCGGGTACTCCACAAAAGCGCGGATTCGGTTGCGCCTGCGTTTTGTGCCTTCCCCGGCCTGAGCGGTTCAGGCAGCCAGAGGCTTGGGCGTACTCTCCCCGAGTGCAGCGCGCCTTTTCCCTCCGCGTCGAGCGGCCCAGGCAGCCAGAGGCTTGGGCGCACTCTCCCCGGATGCGGCGCGCCTTTTCCCTCCGAGGCGGGCAGCTCAGGCAGCCAGAGGCTTGGGCGCACTCTCCCCGGATGTGGCGCGCCTTTTCCCTCCGCGTCGAGCGGTCCAGGCAGCCAGAGGCTTGGGCGCACTCTCCCCGGGTGCAGCGCGCCTTTTCCCTCCGCGGCCTGAGCGGTTCAGGCAGCCAGAGGCTTGGGCGCACTCTCCCCAGGTGCAGCGCGCCTTTTCCCTCCGCGGCGAGCGGCTCAGGCAGCCAGAGGCCTGGGCGCACTCTCCCCAGTTGCAGCGCGCCTTTTCCCTCCGCGGCGAGCGGTTCAGGCAGCCAGAGGCTTGGGCGCACTCTCCCTGGGTGTGGCGCGCCTTTTCCCTCCGCGTCGAGCGGCCCAGGCAGCCAGAGGCTTGGGCGCAATCTCCCCGGGTACTGCGCGCCTTTTCCCTCCGCGGCGGGCAGCTCAGGCAGCCAGTGGCTTGGGCGCACTCTCCCCGGGTACGGCGCGCTTTTTCCCTCCGCGGCCCCAGCGCGCACCGCCAGTCGGGTCTCAGGAAGTCTCTAGATAGGAACCGGGGGCCTGTTTGCAGTGAGGGAGGGGGCGGCTTCTCAGGGGCTGAGTTTGCCCTTTCCCCTCCCCCCTGCCTCCTACCTCCAGCGGGGGTGGGCCGGCTCTTCTCTGGACTTTCTCAGTCCCTTTGTTTTGCGAACCGCCGGCAGTGTGTTCGGGCCGGTTAATTTTGACCCTTGCTATCCCACAGTTTAAAAAAGCTCCCTCCGATTGCTCTCAGGGTCTTCGGGCCAGTCCTTACCCTAAGCAATGCCGCCCGCTCCTCTCCGTTCCGCCCCCGCTTGTTGCTGGCGGGTGCGGGCGTCTGGGGTACTTTTCTGCTGGGAGTTGCTTTTAGGCACATAATCTGTGGGCCTTGCTTAATTTTTCCTCCCAGTTAGATTGCCGAAAACTTCCCCCAGTCCCGCCAGTGCGAGGGTTTCCTGGTGATTGGAAACTTCCTCTATTAAGACTCCCTTCCCGGGACGGGTCTCCGTCCGTAACTCTTTTGACTCCCTTTTTATCTTTTATATTTTGTCCTACCTCCCTTCGAAGACAATGGGCTGCTTTTCTGGGCGCCTGATGTCCTCTGCTAGCGATCAGAAGTTGTTTTGTGAAATTTGCTCAGCGTTCAAATGTTCTTCCGATGAATTTGTAGGGGAGAAAGTGGTCTCCCCGTCCTATTCCTCCGCCATCTTGGCTCCTCCCCCGAAAAATAGGTTTTCATTGTTGACGTGTGAGCGGTGCGGCTGTGGCTGTAAACTGGGCGCATCCGGGACACGGCCACTCCCAGCTCAGAGCGAGCCTGAGCCCCGTGGGATATTTTCAGGTCCCCTCCCCCACCGGCCCCCCCAGGGAGGGTTCTCAGAGAAGCTTCCAGTTTGGCCTCTAGTGTTGAGAGGAGGGAGGAGGGGGCGGTCCAGTGTGTAAACATGAGGCTACGTATGTGTTTGGGTGACGTGCGAGTGCCTCCCATGGGCTGTGTGTTCGCTCAGGGCCTCCTGCGGCCTCAGGCTGGGACTTCTGCCTGTCCCACCTGACCTCTCTGGTCAGTGACCTTTGTGGAGGGACAGCAGACACACGGCCTCCAAGTGAGAACCGGGCTCAGAGCCCCCCAGAATGGGCCCCCCCCCCCGATGCCCACCAGATCAAGCCATCCTTCTTTGAGGAGGAAATGGAAACTGATGACATAGAAGTACCTGTGGGGGGTTTCAGCCCCTCTCCCCTGGAGGCGGGCATAGCTGCCTGCCCCAGTATTCTTGCCTGGAGAATCCCGTGGACTGCGGGGAGCCTGGGGGGGCTACCGTACATAGGGTCGCACAGAGTCGGACACAACTGAAGCGACTTAGCACACACACTCCTCGAGGAGAAAGGCACGAACACATACAACAAGGGAAGGCACACTTCTTACATCTATAATCTATCGGGCTCCGGCCAAGGCTCCAGGGCTTGGCGCCCCTTCCTGAGGCTAAGGACTGAGCTGGAGCCCTAAGCCCCTTGTCTCAGACCCCACTCACCGGTGGAAAGGATGATCACCAGCAGGAGCCAAGGTCCAAAGGGTGTCGTCCTTTACCCCAGCTCACCCGAAACCAAAATAACCCAAGGACATTCGAGCCCTCTCTCTAGCTGAGGCCTTTGTGCTTGCTTCAGTCCTGGCCCCAGCCCCCCATGGCGTCTCTGCAGGGAGCTTGATGGTGGCACCTTTCACGGGTGTCCGGGGGCTTTGGCACCCATCTCCAAGCTGGCACAGACCCCCCTGGAGATTATAGTGATACACCTGAACCTGACGCCTGCACCTCCATCTCAGGTTGCTCACTGGCGCTTTCTCACGTGGTGTAGACTTCTGCACCCCTGGCTGCCCCGGGGAGCCCTACCCAGTCTCCCTGGAGGGGGAACCGGAGCCCCGAAGGACACACACTGACTCACTCGAGGAGAAACATTTAGTTCCTTGTGACGCTCTTGCGGTGCGCCCGCGAGCAGGGTCAGCTGGGGTCAGCTCTACCCCAGCTTAAAAATCTCTTACCACCTTTAGCCTTCTTTGAGGTGGAACCAGTGTCCTGCGTCCCTGTCATTAGCTTGTTAACTGGAGGGGCCGGGCTGGGTCCCGGGTTTCAGCCCCCTTTGAGAGTACAGCCTGGGATTTTCCTGGGCTTTGCCCCTGTTTGCACAGGAAGATGTTAAAGGATGCTTGACTCATTTTCTGCCTGCAACATGCCTAAGTGCACTCCGATTGCCAAGGAGGCAATTGTGGTCTGGCCTTGGGGGAGACACCCTGACGGAGCCCACACAGTCCTGCATGTGGAGCTGGTCGGTGCCAATGTGGGAAAGCTCCTGGCCAGGCCGAGGGAGGGGCTGTGGACTCTGCCCCTGGAATACAGAATCCCGGGTCTCTAATGCCCTCTGCCACCCCCCCCCATCCCATCCCACCCCCAGGGAGCCAAGGGCATCATCACTCCCTCCAGTCCAACCCGGGCGGTGGGCCGGCATTCCTGAGTCGCCAAGCACGTGCTTTTCAAGCCGTGAGAATGATTTCTGTTTTGTGATGCCTGTTTGCTGAAAGATTAATAAATCATTTCTGTGCCCTTAGCAAACTTCCTGTGTTGCTCTTAAAAAGGGATCATCCACCTTCCCGGACCACAAGGTTAAGGTAACCCCGCTAGGGAACCCCGATAGGCCTGCTGCGGGGCAGAGCGACAGAGAGAGAGAGAGTGAGGGCGAGGGTGAGGTAAGCAACCCCCCCCGGGAGCCCTGGGGTTCCCCGGCTCGCAGGTCCTCGCCCGCCCGCGCAGGCACCTTTGGGAGAAAACAAATCCCCGCCTTTCCTGTTACCTACTGTGGCTTTCGAGGTCTTAAATTCAAGGACCCCCAGAATCACGCTTCCTCCCGATCCGCAGGGCCTCTTGGGAGCTGCCCTCCCCTCCCCCAGCAGTGATGGGTGCTTGCTGGCCAGGGTGCCTTGGTTCTGGCTGGAGGTGGCTGGAGCTGGTGATGGGGCACATCCTGGCTGGGGGCGGGGGGCGGTGGGCGGTGGTGCTCGGGCATCTCAGCTGTCTTCCCTGGGTGCCCTGGCTGGACCCACCCCTGACCTCTGCAGACATCCGCGGAGGATGGCCACGCCAGCATTAGTGATAGCTGCTGTGGCTGAGGGGCTGAGGCCACGTGAAGTGGGGCCGTGAGGAGACCCCTGGAAGCGGTGCTGGTGGATGATGCCAGGACCTGGTGGAAGGGGGACTCCTTGGCAGCGCAGTGTCAGATGGAGAAGCCTGCTAGCGCCTGCGGAGAGCCCCGGGTCAGGGGCTACCCAGCCCCCTGCAGCTTAGTCGGCGGTGGCCCCGTGTGTGTGCCGGGTGGGCTGGCCCACCGAGCCACCCCGGCACCAGGCATCCCCTGGAGCACACGCACCCGGGCCTGGCCCTGGGCCTTGTCTGACCGACCTGCTGCTTCTGCGGGCCGCTGGGCATTTCTTCTCGGCTCGGGGCTCGCTCTGTCAAAACCCACGTCCCTCTGCTGGCCGGGCGTTGGGTGGAGTGGCTGGGAGGGGTCACCGCTCTCCTGTCCTCTGCAGGGCCCGCTGCTGCGATGGCTCAAGGTCAACTTCAGCGAAGCCTTTATTGCCTGGATCCACATCAAGGCGCTGAGAGTGTTTGTGGAGTCTGTGCTCAGGTGTGTGGACGTGATGCTCTGGGGCCACCTGGCCTCTGCCACCCTCCTTCTAACTACGACCCCCCGACCCTGCCAGCCTCTGGGACATGCCCTGGCCCTCCTACCCTCTTCTTCTGCAATTCTTGGCTCTTGGCAACAGGTTTAGGGATTCCAGACTCGAACAAACTGTCCCTCAGTCCGGAGGCCCCTGCTCTCCGGTGCTCTGTGTCTTTCCTGCCAGGCTGGCATCTTGCTCTCCCCACCCACTCTCTGCAGCCGTCCAGGGCCCAGTAGCTCCTGCAAGAAACACCAGCACTGTTTCCATCCTTGACTTTTGAGGCCTAGTCCTAAAAGCAGCACAAAATATAAAACCCAGATGAACCAACAACAACAAAACTTACTTTACCTCCTTTTTAACAAACGCAAAATAGGCTCACTGTTTTGTGGAAAACTTGGCAATTACCGGTAAGCACAAAGAACGAAGAAAAATCACCTGTAACTTTAACACCAAGAGGAAACACTGCTAACTCGCTGGTGTTTCTAGCATCCTTCAGGCTTTTTGAGATTGTTTTTTTTAATTTGCAGATATGCATGATTTTTATAAAATGTTTACAAAAATGGAGTCAAGCAGGAAATTGAAGCCCATTTGAACATCTCCTGTGTCTTGAACTATTGCGGGGGGGTCTTGGCAGCACTGCATGTAGCTGACTGCACCCCCGTTCCCAAAGCTAGGCCTGCTCTGACCTGCAGGTCCAGTGGCCCCTTGGCCCCTCTGGGGTGGTCTTGCTGGGCCCCTTCCCTGCCTACACCGAAGGCATCCTCAGGACCCCATCCCACACCTGCCTGGTGGAGTGCCCTGCTCTCTGTTCCTTGCTCAGGCTTCATAGGTGCCCCCTGCTATTCATTTCCCCAGAGGCTTCCCCTGGACTTCTGGCTCATCTTCCCTCCCAGTCCTTTCCTCCTGATCCTCATATCTGCCAGTGGCCTCAGGTTCCTCCCCAAACTTCAAGGCCCCCGTGGATGCCTCCCTCCCCTCATTACATCCTTCCCCTCCCTCCACATCACGGCACCCCTGACAAGCCTCCATCCTGCCTTGACCCTCGCTCGCTCTCTCTTTCACCATCTCCTTCCCAGCTGTAACCAAAGGCTCTTTCTTGGTCCTCTGCCTCCAGCTCATCCTTCATGTGGCTGCCAATGTGGTTTTGTCCGAACACAAGCTAGGTCTGACGTGGCTCCTCGTCTTCTCTCAGATATCTCGGACCTCTGTCACAGCAAGCATTGTGACAAGGGGCTGAAGGGCAGATTCAAGATAACCCAGAGTGTTCCAGCCATCAACAGGCCCCAGTCTGTCCCTGCTCACCTTGAAAATCACTCGTCCTCAGGCTCAGCACAGCAAAGCCTGCCATCCTTACTGGAGGCCCATTTTGCTCAAGAGCGAGGTCCAGATGGTCCACAGAGGTCCCGCATATCATGTTTAAGCTCAATAAAATGGAGTCTATGCAAAAACAATTCTATTCAAAACTATCAATGTTCAGAAATAGGTACTGTAGAAAGTAATTTCCTGTCAGTTCCACCAGCCATGGATTATCCCAGTTAATGGTTTTAAGACTCTTCTTTCCCAAGTTGGTTTATTTATACTTGATGTTCTGCAACTTGTTTTTTTCATCTGCTTATAGTCTCATCACTATGCATAGAGATACTCAATCTTTTTTCATGATTTTTTCATATTCCATCTTATGGAGCAAGCATAAGCTAAGAAAACAGATGTTAGAGCAACTTGATTAGAGCAGATGGCTACAGTTCACCTGTTATCTTGTTCCTCTGACCCCGCATTGGCCTTTGCCTTCAGTTGGCCCTTGCTGCTCTGTCTTTCCTCAGAGTTGGTTCTGTCCTTTTTCCCTACACTGGGAGCTGGAGGGGAGGGCCGGGGTGACTTGCCTCTCTGCCTGTCACCCACCCCGGAGTCAGACAGAGAGTAGGCACTCTATGTTTGTGGGCTAAATCTCATCAAAGAGAAGTGGACCAGCCCTCAGTGGAGGAAGTGCTGGTTCATTGGCAGGCACTTAAATCACTCAAGATGAAAATGGAAACGGGCCCTGGGTGAGTGGTGGGACCATGATGAGATTGGAGAAGCCAGCCAGGTAGCTGGGTAATTAATTAGTCTGGATCTTGGGAGAGGACTTGGTGGAGAATGGATGTTAGGGAATCACCAATAACGGTTGATGTGTTTGGATGAGCTCACCTATGGAGGGTCATTTAGAGGGTACACCAAAGGGGAGCCCAGCCTCTAAGGAGCTGGGGCAGAGAAAGCCCATGGGAATGTTAGAGGCCAGAGGAAGGAGAGATGGGTGAGTCAGGAAGCAGACAGTTAACGCTTGACGTGTTTCTGGAATGGGACCACAGGACGTGAGCAACTAGTGACTGAAGGATGCTCCGGTGACATAGGACCCTGGATGCTCTCGTAGGTGGGATGAGAGCTGGGGAATTTTTAAAAAGGGCATGATGGTGGCATGTGAGCAGGCAGGGGGTGGTGACTGAGACCTTCTTAGTACAGGGGGCGCAGGTGGGGGGCCTCGAGGGGACAGAGGCTCCCGTACTAAGTGGTCCAGAAGTGGGTCGCCTGGGGGCAGCTGGAGGAGAAAGGAGTGGGAGAGTTGACTCCCTGTTCCTGGAAGGCCTGTTCTGAGCAGAACGGAGGAGGTGTTTGAGCTGACCAGGAGGGACAGCTAGCAGGGAGAGGACTGGAAGGGTCTGGGAAGAAGGCGGAAGCCCTGAAACCAAAAGGGGAGTGGGATGAGAAAGGGGCCCAGAGCATCGAGGCTGGGCGAGGAGCAAGGCGCATTCCTGTGGCCAGTGTCTAGCTAGGGGTGTCTGTTATTCACCAGATGCAGGGGTAGCCTGGTGAACAAGGGCAGGTCAGGGGAGCAGAGCTCAGCAGATGACCTCTTGGTTCAGGGGAAGGGTAAGCAGCCTCCCAGAGCAACCTGGCGATGAATGTGGTGGGGTGACCGGTCAGAGGGTGGCAGAGTGATGGTCTGGCTACTGTGTCTGTGAGCTGGAATGCTGTCTCCAGACACACACGTACCTTGGGCTCTGGTTCAGTGACTGTCGCCCTTTGAGAACTCTAAAGTCTGGTGCTTGGACTTCCTTGTGGTGGGCAGGGACATCTGTGCTGGTGAGGTCGTGGGTGTGCAGTGGGGTCTCCATCCAGGGCACTGGGAGTCGGATGGGACGTTCAGGAGGGAAGGCAGGGTGAGAGCCACCGCTCATTCAAGCGACAAGGGCTCTCCAGGAAGCACTATGACCTTCTGCTCATTGTCCTCTGGGTAGCCGGGACTTTGATGATAAGAGATGTGAGCAAAGAAGGAATGAGGGTGTCTGCTGGGCCATCCTGTCACCCACCATCTAGCTCAGGAGCTCCTGCCATTCCCTGCCAGCATCAGCGGCCCCTGTGGCCCTCCTCACCTCTCAGCTCCGGTGGGGCCCCGCGCGCTCAGTGTCCTAAGGCCATGGGGCTAGGTAGGTCTTCTGCTTGGTTACAGTGAGGTAATTACAAATGGCCCTTTCATTTTACTTTTCTGTAGACCCACTAGGAGACCTCAGGACTTAAGTGAATGCTTTGCACCATTAATAGCCAGAAATGAGGATCAGGAAAGTGAGGGGCTAATTTATGGGCCTTGACTGAAATAAAAACAAAGTAATACTAACAGGTTAGGCAGTAAAAGGGCATCTCAAGGCTAGCTTTCACATGCCTGACTCGGGCATGAAGCATGGGTGATTAAATATTGAATATCCAAGCATTTGCTCACTGGTAGTATATATATATATATTTTAAAACACTGACCCATTACAAAATGCATGTATACTTATATAGTACTCGGTATAAACCTTTTTGGCTGCACTGGGTCTTCGTTGCTGTGTGCAGGCTTGCTGTAACGGTGGAGAGCAGGGGCTACTCTAGTTGCAGAGCACGGGCTCCAGACCCACGGGCTTCAGCAGTTGTGGCGCACAGCCCCTTGGCAGCTCTGTGGTATGTGGGATGTTCCTGGACCAGGGATGGAATCCGTGTACCCTCCATTGACAGGCGGATTCTTATCCACTGGACCACCAGGGAAGTCCCAATGTAAATACTTTGTTGAGATTAACACAATAGGAAAAGCTGCCAGCAAGTGGTTTTTACATGTACTCTGGCATCCAAAGTCCATATAAAATCCTTTCTGTCCACCCAAAACGTAGCAAAAGGAATGAACAATCTTGATAAACCAGATCTGTGTGTGCTGGTCTTTCAGTGGAGAAAAGTAAAGCTGCTAAGCGGCATTTTAGACACAGGCTTTGGAGTTACAATATTTAAGTTGGATGGCCTCCTTTCAACTTGAACCCTTACCACCTGAGTCACACATACCCAAGGGATCCCTTGGCTCTTTAGTCAAAAATGGTCACCATCAGAAGCTGTTGAGCATGTTCTACAGATTTTTCTGTGCTGAAAGATCTAATAATTAGCCTCACTCCTGACCCTTGACATTCTGCTCAACTGAGTTTTCTTCTCCTAAGCTGTGTTGGCCGGTTTTTCCACCCTTACTAGAATTTACTGTCAGGTTCATTTCACCCATACTGGCAGTAACTCCCTTACACACTTGGTCTACCTCAACAGGTATGGACTGCCAGTGAACTTCCAGGCGGTTCTCCTCCAGCCTCATAAGAAGTCATGCACCAAACGTTTACGAGAGGTTCTGAACTCCGTCTTCAGGCATCTGGATGAAGTTGCAGCTGCAAGTATATTGGATGTAGGTATATCATCCAGAGAAAGCTGCCTTTTACAGTAAGGTCAGCCTCTCCACATGGAGCTACTCCCCCAAAACAGTACCTGCCGGAATATTAGAAAAATCTACACTTCACAAATGTGAAAGGTTAACAAGAGATTGTGTGTGTGAGTTATGGGTGGACTGTGGCAGGCAGAAATTGTGGTCAATGCCTAGAGAGCTTTCCTCATACAGAAACATAAAACGAGACGAGCTTATGCATTAATGTGACATCTTTTGCAGGCATCCGTGGAGATCCCTGGACTCCAACTCAGCAACCAAGACTACTTTCCTTACGTCTACTTCCACATCGACCTTAGTCTTCTCGATTAGAAAGATGAGCTGGTGCCGCTAAACTTGAGTATTCGTGCGAACTACTACAGATGTGTCTTTCCTCTAGCCAGAGAACAATTTTAAGTATCCTACAGAATTTAGATTTTTAGAGAAATTGCTCACGAAGATTAGTGACAGTTGTATTTATTTTTTGTAAGTTACAATAAAGAAATGTTCTCAGTCCTTTGAATTGTCTCTTCCCTTATATTCTAACGTAATTTGTATTTCATGTCTTAACGGGACACGCTGTGAAGGTTTAATAATAACATATCAAAAACCTTGGGCTAAGTGTATAACCAGCTCTTTTCCCTAGTAGTTGCTAGTGATGGCCCAAAGACAAAAGATTGGGCATGGAGGGCAGTTCCCACTTGATGATCCACACTCTTTCTCATCCTTCTATATAAACTTGCTTTACCTTCCACATTTACAACTGGACCCCGGCCTTGTGGGTCACAGGTAAGACCTGTGTGACAGCAGGCATCCAGATGGTGTCACGTGAGCCACAGGTTACAGGGAGGACAAACGTCAAGGTCGTCCCTTCACAATATTAATGTATGGGCTGAATACCGCACTCTAAATTTACCATGTGGACACTGATTTTATACGTTTATTGGCATTGTCCAAAATATTGTTTTATTCTTTAATGGAAAAAAAGCTATTAATATTCAAATGAAAAGGATCACATTAAAAAACTTGTATGTAAGAAACAGCCTCCAAGAACATCCAAGCAGCAAGTCAGAGGGAGGGAAAAATGCTTCAAGAGCCCATCAGTTTTCTTCAAAATATTACTTGACAGGATACAACTCATTTCATTGGCTACGACAATTCATAGAATTTTTCATTGTTTTCTTGAGATGCAGAAGTTCACTGTTGCAGTGTTTTCAAATGACCAGTCAAGGGTTACTTCTCGGTTAAAAAGGCCACTGGTAGGTTCCTTGGACTGGAAAGGACGTTCCTTCACTGCAGGAAAATCTGCTCCCAAGAAAAGAAAGCTGAAGTCTTTGCGGAGCCTCTCACAACTCATCCTTCTCCAGGTCATCCAGCTCTACATCACTCAGGTCAATGTCGTCTTCCACGGGAAGCTGTGGGACAGAAAACCACGGTCAGGCCCTGCAGGGTCTACACAGAGCCATAGGCAGGACGACCCTGAAGTCTGACGTCTCACTTCACACGGTCAGGCCCTGCAGGGTCTATGCAGAACCACAGGATCCCTGAATTCTGAGGTCTCACTTCAAAGAGCAGTACACTTCTAGCGGTGCTCTGAGCACAACAGCTTCTGCTCCCCCAGCTCCTGCTTTTAACCCTGCCTATCAATAGAGAGCAAAAGCTAACAGTGATTTAACCTGTCCTTTGAGGAGGATGGACAGAAATGTACTGGAATATATTTAATTTCAAAGCCTGAATTTTGCACTTCTCTCAAAGTTACTGAATTCCAGGTTAAATGTTCACTTGAGGGCCAGGAGGAAAGCAACCTCAGTGAATTTCTCTGGCTGTCTTGGTCACGAACATCCAGTGCTGCACCTGATGGCAGGGAGGATGGGGTGAAGGGCCTACAGGCCCGAGAAACCGACACTTCAGGGCTAGGCTCACATCAAGGTTCAGGTCTGAGGGAGAGGTCTTGGGTCACAAGCAGCAAAGATGGGTCGGGAAAGTCAGAGGCAGGACCGAAGCCGGGGATCCTGCTCATGGCTCAGCTGCCCTCAGGACTCACCTCACCATCCTTGCCATCCCAAGGCTCCCTGGTGCTGATGGCAGGGAAAGCCCCACCGCCTACAGGGGCCGTAGATCCACGCCCAAAAGATAGCTCCCTGAGGGGAAGATGAGAAGATGTGTGTTAACAATGGACGGTTGGTGTCAGTGAAGAAACAACTCTTTGCTCCTGAGAAGTACTTCACGAACTATCTTTTCCATCAGGGACAACAAGGTCACTGTATAACAATATAATGGAATTCCTGAGGAAGGTTTTGGCAGCATATAAAGCCAGTTACTACCAGTAATTTGAAAAACAGCGCAAACATATCTTGCCAAAAAACAAGTAAGTAAAAAACGATCAAAGTAGATCTAGAACATGGGCTAGACCAACAATAATACTTGATTAACAAAATTCCACACTAACTTTAGAGCCCCAGAAGGTTTCTCAATGCGGCCACTCTCCATGTTCTGGGCCAGGGAGTCACTTTCCCACCATTCTCTGAACTGCTGTATGGGCAAAACAGAGGGTTTCAGCACAGGCAGGCAGACCCTGCGTGTACCAGATAAACGCAGGCTGGTACACCAGGATGGCTCAATGCCAAGTGCACAGGATGGCAAAGGGGCCTGAGAGGAGAAAAGTGGTAGGATCACTTGCTAAGTAAAACACTTCCATTGCACAGGAAGATGACTCCAAAGCTCTAATTTATGAACATTTATTCTCCGAAATGTGAAATAGAAAATTACTCGGCTTATTGCATACTCTAGAGTAATCTAGTTTGGAACTAGTACCACAAAAGAACCAAGTAAACATTTTGACAAAACAAAAACAACTCAAAGAAGGAAGAAGTTACCTGAGAAACTCATTAATGCCTTGCTCACTGAACGATCCCTTTAGGAGAGCAAATTTCATCTTGCGTGCGTTAATAGCTGCCATAGCAGGGTATCCAAACCCGCCGATCCCCAGCGCATTCTCTAGCTCAGATTGGGCTCCAGCTTCTGTCCACAGCCACCTAGAAAAGCGGATTGATTTTTAGAGTAAAGATCCCTTTTGAATTAATTAGAACCCAATTAGTAGACATTAATTAAAGAACAAAAGATTACACATCAAATCATTTATGGAATGAGATGGGTATAGAACAAAATCAAAAACTAAAGATGAATTTTTTAAATAACATGTTCCAGATGTGCTCCTAAGTAACCTCGCTTCCTCTCCTGTTTCCTACACCCTAGCTCTAAGTGGACTGGTCTACCTACAGGACTGTTTCTCCTCCCAGTCCCCAAAATACTATTCAATAAACCTGATGAGTTTTCTCTGTTACCTGAAATCCTATCAGTATCATTTGGGGTTATTAATGTTCTTCGGGCATGTAACAGCATTTTTTTTTTTTAAAGTTAAGGCTATGTCATAATTCACACATGTAAAAAATGCTCAACCAGACTTCCTAGGTAGCACAGTAGATAAGAATCTGCCTGCAAATGCAGGGGACACAACAGATTCAATCCTGGTATGGGAAGATACCACATGCCGTGGAGCAACTAAGCCCGTTGTTACAACTACTGAGTCTCCAGGCTGCACCCACTGAAACCCACGTCCCTAGGGCTCATGCTCCCCAGCAGGAAAGCCACTGCAATGAGAAGGCTGCACACTGTCAGCTCCCTCTACTCATACATGGATGAAGAGCAAGGAACCTGGGCACACGGCCTCCTGCATGCACACGCTAAACTAACAGAGGCAGTGCAAGGCCTGTGTGAGACCTGTACCCACAGCGGAGATGGAGTACATAGAGCAGAAAGATTAAACAGTGGAAACAAGAGACAAGCTTTGTTCTGAGCATTTGCCAATGTCTGGCCCGTGCTCAGAAGAGGGTAAAGAAACATGCCTCTATTTCTGTCTTTATCTAGCCTTCAAGGCTGTGCTAGAATTCAGCTCTGTTACTAACGGTTTTTGCTTACTAGCTGAGGACTCCAACCACCATTAGAACATAATTCGTTTAAGAAAAAGTGTACTGTGGTATAAATAAGATACTTGCATTGATTTGTTTCTTCCTAGGTGGTAATTATTTTTATATATTAAAAAAACACAGGAAGATGAGCCCCTCAGGTCAGCAGGAGTCCAATATGCTACCAGGGATGAGTGGAGAAATAGCTCCAGAAGGAATGAAGAGGCTGGGCCAAAGTGGAAACAACGCTCAGTTGTAGATGTGTCTGGTGGTGAAAGTAAAGTCGTAAAGTCTGATGCTATAAAGAACAATATTGCATAGGCACCTGGAGTGTTAGGTCCATGAATCAAGGTAAACTGGATGCAGTTAAGCAGGATATGGCAAGACAGAACATCGACCATCTTAGGAATCAGTGAACTAAAATGGACTGGAATGGGTGAATTTAATTCAGATGACCATTATATCTACTACTATAGGCAAGGATCCCTTAGAAGAAATGGAGTAGCCCTCATAGTCAACAAGAGAGTTCAAAATGCAGTACTTGGATGCAATCTCAAAAACAACAGAATGATGTCAGTTCATTTCCAAGGCAAATCATTCAACATCACAGTAATCCAAGTCTACGCCCTAACCACTAATGCCAAAGAAGCTGAAGTGGACCAGTTCTACAAAGACCTATAAAACCTTCTAGAACTAACACCCAAAAAAGATGTCCTTTTCATCACAGGGGATTGGAATGCAAAAGTAGGAAGTCAAGAGATATCTGGAGTAGCAGGCAAGTTTGGCCTTGAAGTACAAACTGAAGCAGGGCAAAGGGTAACAGTTTTCTCAGGAGAACACACTGGTCATGGCAAACACCCCATTCCAACAAGAGACAACTCTACACATGGACATCACCACATAGTCAATACCGAAATCAGACTGATCATCTTCTTTGCAGCCGAAGATGGAGAAGCTGTATACAGTCAGCAAAAACAAGACCGGAGGGGACTGGCTCAGATTATGAGCTCCTTATTACAAAATTCAGACTTAAATTGAACTAGGGAAAACCACCAGGCCATTCAGCTATGATCTAAATCAAATCACTTATGATTATACAGTGGAGGTGATGAACAGATTCGAGATTAGATGATGTAGACAGAGTGCCGGAAGAATTATGGCTGGAGGTACTGTATAATACTGTACAGAAGGCGATGACCAAGACCATCCCTAAGAAAAAGAAATCCAAGAAGGCCAAGTGATTGTCTCAGGAGACTTTACAAATAGCTGAGAAAAGAAGCAAAGCAAAAGACAAGGAAGAAAGGGAAAGACAACCCAACTGAATACAGAGTTCCAGAGACTAGCAAGGGGGAGATAAAAAGCCTTCTTAAGTGAACACTGCAAAGAAATAGAGGAAAACAATAGAATGCGAAAGACTAGAGCTCTCTTGAAGAAAACTGGAGATACGAAGGGAACATTTCATACAAGGATGGGCTCAATAAAGGACAGAAACAGCAAGGACCTAACAGAATGAAGACTATGTGGCAAGAATACATAGAAAAACTATACAAAACCTTAATGACCTGGATAACCACAAGGGTATGATCACTCACCTAGAGCCAGACATCCTGAAGTCAAGTGGGCCTTAGGAAGCATCACTATGAACAAAGCTAGTAGAGATGATGGAATTCCAGCTAAGCTATTTCAAATCCTAAAAGATGATGCTGTGAAAGTGATGCACTTAATATGCCAGCAAATTTGGAAAACTCAGCAGTGGCCACAGGACTGGAAAAGGTCAGTTTTCATTCCAAACCCCAAAAAAGGCAATGACATAGAATGTTCAAATCATCATACAACTGTGCTCATTTCACGTGCCAGCAACATCATGTTCAAAATTCTTCAAAGGCAGATTTCGGCAGTACATGAACTGAGAACTTCCAGATGTCAAGATGGATTTAGAAAAGGCAGAAGAACCAGAGATCAAATTGCCAACACCTGCTGGATCATAGAAAAAGCAAGGGACTTCTGGAAAAAAATCTACTTCTGCTTCATTGACTACGCTAAAGCCTTTGTGTGGATCACAACAAATTGTGGAAAATTCTTAAAGAGATGGGAATACCAGATCACCTTACCTGCCTACTGAGAAACTTGTATGCAGGTAAGAAGCAACAGTGAGGACAAGACATGGAACAAAGGACTGGTTCAAAATTAGGAAAGGAGTATGTCAAGGCTATATATTGTCATCCTGCTTCTTTAACTTAAATACAAAATATATCATGTGAAATGCTGGCTAGGTGAATCCCAAGATGGAATCAAGATTGCAAGGAGAAGTATCAACAACATTAGATAGGCAGATATCTAAGATACCACTCTTAATGGCAGAAAGTGAAGAGGAACCAAAGAGCCTCTTGATGACGGTAAAAGAGAAGAGGGAAAATGCTACCTTGAAACTCAATATTCAAAAAACTAAGATCATGGAATCTGGTCCCATCACTTCAAAGTGGAAACAGTGACAGATTTTATCTTCTTGGGCTCCAAAATCACTGTGAAATGTGCCTTCAGCCATGAAATTAAAGGACGCTTGCTCCTTGGAAGGAAAACTATGACAAACTTGACAACATGTTAAAAAAAAGAGATGCCACTTTGCTGACAAAGGTCCATATTAGCAAAGCTATGTTTTTTTCCAGTAGTCATGCAGATGTGAGAGCTGGACTAAAAGAAGGCTGGGTGCCAAAGAACTGACGCTTTCAAACTGTGGTGCTTGGACAGCAAGGAGATCAAATCAGCCAATCCTAAAGGAAATCAACCCCGAATACTCATTGGAAGGACTGATGCTGAAGCTGAAGCTCCAATACCCTGGCCACCTAATGTGAAGAGCTGACTCACTAAAAAGAATCTGATGGTGGGAAAGACTGAAAGCAGGAGGAGAAGGGGATGACAGAGGATGAGATGGTTGGATGGCATCACTGACTCGATGGCCATGAGTTTGAGCAAACTCTGGGAGACGGCAGAACACGGAAGGCTGGTGTACTGCAGTCCATGGGATCAGAGTTGGACGCGACTTAGCAACTGACAACAATAACAACAAAAAAACACACCAAAGTGAGCAGAGGAACACAGACTATAGGAAACACTGAGGGAAACACTTTCAAACAGCACTACACTCTCCTTCCCAAATGATCCTGAGACAGTTCGTTAACTCACCCCCACATTTTCTTCTTGTATTTGTCCGCCAACTTCAGAAGAACTTCCAAGTAAGAATTTCTGCCTGCAGCTCCTGATTTAAAGACAAAGATTTTACAGGTAAAAAGAAAGGAGTTGGTAAAGTAATTCCATCTATTAAGTGTTCTCAAGAGCAAGCAGCACAGAAGTAATGGAGAGCAAGCCCCCATCGGCCATACCCGTGTCAAGAATGTGGGGCAGCACAGCCACGACACAGAGCTGATGCTCCTCACACGTCTTCTTGGCAATGTCCTCGTTGATAATCTGCGGGGCCCAGAACACAAGGGGTGTTGGAAGGCCATGTGACACAGAACCCACAGGTCCGCTTGAACAGAGACTGGGTATCGTCAAGCTTATTTTAGAAGAGCAAAGTAATTCAAGAGCTAGATAAGCCTCTTCCCAAATAATACTTACTGTATGCACTATAGAAACATGAAGGAGGATTCCGTTTTTATCTCTTAGCCATCTATCTGCGGTGGGGGTGAGCCATTTGTATGCAAAAATGGTCTCTGAAATCAGGATGCCTGGGCACAGCCTTGCTCTGACATTTAGTTGTTTAGATAGGTAAGAAAGACATTAACATGTATTACATATTCTCATGGATTTGAGGCTTTCTTTGCCTCTTACCATATGTAAAATGGAGATAGAAACAGTATCCACCTCCAAGTGTTCATATGAGAATTAAATGAGAAAAATCTACATAAAGGAACAGTGCTCAACACATGGCCAGGTGCTCAATAAATGCTATTATTTTGAGAATGATAAATGAAAGACTGGATTCAATTTTAATGAAGCTAAGGTACCTTTTGCTTGCAGTGCAATTACTTTCGTACTGAAAGTTATGAAAAGCTGCAATTTATAAGACAAGTTTTCCCCATCTGAAAGTACAAAAACACTCTAAAGAGAACAATTTAAAAAAGAGAAAGAGCTAACTGGCAAAGACAGAAAATGTCTTTATTGCTTCAGTGTTGTCTTTCATCAGACTGGAAAAGCTCTCCTTACTACAGGTGATGAAGAGGTTTACCTCAAGCAGCTCAGGAGGTGGGGCGTTATCAGAAAACAGATCGAGGGCCCGGGAAACAATGTCGGATCTCGTGCGTCCCCCATCGTAATCCACAGGAGACTCGCCTTTCTGAAATATCTTGATTGTAGGGAATCCCCTAATCTATTAAAAATTAAAATTTTGTTGTTGTTTGTTGCTAAGTCATGTCTGATTCTTTGCAACCCCCATGGACTGTAGCCCACTGGGCTCCTCTGTGGGATTTCCCAGGCAAAACTAGAGTAGGTTGTCATTTCCTCCTCCAGGAGATCTTCCCAAGCCAGGGATCAAACCCACATCTCCTGCACTGGCAGGTGAATTCTTTACCACTGAGCTACCAGGGAAGCCCCCAAAATAAAATATCAGAGTAGAAATCAAATTAATATTTAATAATAAATAAGATGATCTTTATGGCTAAAACTACTTTATAGGTAATTTAACGTAACAAAAACACTCCCTAGCCTGCATCAGTGTCTAAGGGACAGCATGCAGAGGTTTGTCAGTCAGGGGACAGTAACAGTCTCACAGCCAGGCTTAGCCAAATCTTATTCAAACGCTGGACATACATCAATACAGTAATATATGTGCTCGAGAACAAAGGGACCAACTTCAAAAGCTATATTCAATTTTAATGAAGCTAAGGTACCTTTTGCTTGCAGTGCAATTACTTTTGTACTGAAAGTTATGAAAAGCTGGAATTTATAAGACAAGTTTTCCCCATCTGAAAGGACAAAAGTACTGAGTAACCTGCGAAAGCCTGGGCTCACATTAAGCCCATAGGCAGTGCAATGCTGAAAGCAAAACCAAGAAACCTCAACAGTCTTAAGTCCCATATTTACTAGTTAAGATAGTGAATGAGTTCATTTCTCCATTACAAAACGGCTTAACTCCCCTCCCACCACCTAGGGAAGCCAGGAGTACGCGATGGAGTGACAGTTGAAAGCAGCCTCCCAAGCACACTCACCCCGTATCGGCTGGAGAGAACCTGGTTCACGGTGGCATCCACAGCTGCGAGTTTCACTTTGCCTTTCGTTTGTTCTTTTACCTCTGTAGCGGCCGCGGCCCATTCTGGCTCTAGGCTACAGAAAACACCCTGCACTTTAAAAGGGTATGCCAACTCTAGGCACACATACTTTAACTTCTGCACACATTTCCATCCAGTCCAGTAAAATCACACTTGGGAAACACTCCGTGTGCAGCATTATGAAAGCTATGACGCCCCACCCTCCCACATTCACTTCCCCATCCTTCATCCATCATGCCCCTCCCAACGCTGGATGCCAGCTCCCTGCTCATCTCTGAAAACATGACAGAAGAAACACTCCACACAAATGGCTGAGGTTTCACATTCACTAGAGCCAGAACTTTGGGGGAGAACATATTGGGGATCACCTATGACCTGATTCAGCTCTTCAGAAGTGAGCCAGGTGAACAGACTAAACGCACTGTGACTTTAAAAAGTACCTGGTACAAAGCACTTACTTTTTGCAGTGTCCACACCAGGGAGCATAAAACTCAACCATCCAAACATCTTCACTGTCAAGGACATTCTTGTCAAAGCTGTCGTCCGTCAGCTCAATCACGTCCTTCTTACTTGAACTGTCACTTCTGCCCTATCATTTGTGACATTAAACCTTAGGTTACAACTTGGCCAAAAAGAACACTATCATCATTCTAAATATACATATAGCAATAATCAATTCTATATCTTAACAAAGTTTTAAGTTCTTTCAAGTGAAAACTATTTTACTCCAATAGGGAACATTCCTTAGTATTATTATTCTTTTTACTTGGCAAACAGTATTTACTTTCAAAGAATTACCAGTACAGTCAGTATCACATGTAACATAAATCTGAACTCTACTTTTGCTACTTTCATTAAGAGAAACTCCAGTGTGGCTCACAGAACCACTTTAGTAACACTTCTTATTCAGAACCATGCTGGTTCATCCTAGATACCTACAGTTCAGATAAAGTCCCTACTACTTGAGAAAGCGAAAAACAACAGTTAACCCTTTTATCTTTTCAAAGCATTTTCTTTAATACTAAACCTGCAAAGCAGTCAGAATTTATATAATGCTTTCTGTTGCCTGGGCCAAAAGGCATCAGTGTTGGAAAGGCAACCTGTGCTCATTAAATGTCTTTAAGTTTGAGATAAAAAGCACGAAATCTCTGGTAAGCTAAGTCTGTATAAAGAAGCTACTCTTACTGGTCTCCTAGGAGTGAAGGGTCGTTTTATTATGTGTGCAGGCAGACCTTGGAGATACTATTGGTTTGGTTCCAAACTGCAGTAAAGCAAGCATCGCAATAAAGCAACTCATGAATTTCTTGGGCTTCCTGGTGCACATAAAAGTTACGTTCACACTATATTGTAGCCTGTAATTTTTGTACTGTGGTCTATTCAGTGTGCAACAGCACTATGTCTAAAAGACGATAAATAACTTAATTCAAAAATGTTAGTGCTAAAAAATGCTAACCCTCATTTGAGTCTCTGGCGAGTCATAATTTCTTTGTAATAGCAGTATCAAAGATCAGAGATCATAGATCACCATAATTAAAATAAAAAACTTTTGAAATACTGCAAGAATTACCAAAATGTGACAGGGTGAGCAAACACTATTGAAAAAATGGCACCAATAGACTTACTTGATGCAGGGTTGCCACAAATCTTCACTTTGTAAAAAATACAAAGATTTGAGAAGCGCAATAAAATGAGGTGTGCCTACATGTATCAGGAATTCAATGCCTTTTCACAAAAACCTAAGTACATCATGGTTAAAATCCACATTTCATACAAGGAGATCTAATATATCCATCTATAGAACAGCAATCTTCTTCCCTATCCAACTGTGTGTGTGTATGCACACATGCTCAGTTGTGTCTGACTCTTTCTGGCCCCATGGACTGTAGCCCAGCAGGCTTGCTTCTCTGCCCATGGGATTTTTCCAGGCAAGAATACTGGAGTGGGTTGCCATTTCCCACTCCAGGATATCTTCCTGACTTAGGGATTGAACCAACATCTCTTGTGGCTCCTGCACTGGCAGGATTCTTTACCACGAGCACCATCTGGGCTCTCTATCCAATTACGTATGAATAAAAACGTCCAGGGATTTCAGCCTGACTACCACAGACACAGGCCAAGAGGCCATCCAAATTTCATCCGTGTTTGCCCTAAGTTGACCTGGACAAGAGCATATATCCCTCTCACTACTTTGGAACTACAAACATCATGGAGGCCAGAGTTCAGCTTCCGGGGCCTGAAGCTCTTTCTCTCTTGCTATCTCCCAAACTCTTCTACTTAGGCCTGGGTCCAAGGAAGCCATTTCGGGGCGTGGTTCTTGGCCTGCAGCTCAGCTGTGGTGGATGCCCTAGGATTGACTGGCTAGGAGTAGAGACCTCAGGGGGCCACATGAGCAGCTCTGACTCCCTCTGTAGTCATTTGACTCAACCTCCTCTTATTATTATTTTTTTTTAAACTCAAAGTCCACCAATTTAAAACACTTTTAAAAATAATTATCTTCTTTGCAGAGTTTCCCTGGTGGCTCAGCTGGTAAAGAATCCGCCTGCAATGCGGGAGACCTGGGTTCAATCCTTGGGTTGGGAAGATCCCCTGGAGAAGGGAAGAGCTACCCACTCCAGTATTCTGGCCTGGGGAATTCCATGGACTAGTCCATGGGCTCGCAAAGAGTTGGACATTACTGAGCGACTTTCACTTTCATGCCGAGTTTACAATCAGGCTTCAAAATCATGACACACGTTAAAAACTGACATTATACAGAGCCTTACTTGTTTTCCAGAACTGGAGCCACTGCCCCGGCCGCCAAGGCGGTCTTTCACAAGCTGGCGCAGAGCACTGAGGGCAGCGTCCACGATGGCCTCGCCAGTTCTGCCACCTGCAGGGAGACACAGCCATCAGGTGAGCAGCAGTGGGCAGCCTGGGTGTCTCTATCTGATGCTAGCTAAAGACTGCAACAGACATGTCTGTCACCTTCATCCGTTGTTCAAACAGACCTAACAACTCGAGTGTCTTTTAAGACAGGACCAGTTTCTTCTAGGATGTATTTCCTGCTTAAACTTTACACTGGGAAAACTAATTCCTCTTCTTCAGTTTTAGGTTATTAGTGTTAACAAGGACATTCTGTTCACCCATAAATACCATCTACTATTGAGAACAGTCCACCGCAATGTCTACTGAATGTGTAACATGTACACAGATGAAAAAGGTTATCTAGTTAACAGAGTAGGATAAATTTCTAAACACAAAGTACCAAATGAGGGGAATGGAAAAAACTATTTAAATGAGATTAATGGACAGAAAAGACTGGACAAAGGAGGATATGAGGCATCTGAAGCTAAGAAACTGGAAAGCAACCCACTTCCTTCTACCTTGTTTAAACACAGTTATTTTGGGCTTTGAGGTTCTGTAGTTGAACTTGCTCTTAATTTCAAGCCCTGTATTTAAGACAGTGACAATAGCCTTGGGAAGTTTACCAAGGGCTATGTGCTCAAGTCAGGAGACTCCCGATTTACTCAGAAGAAAATGGACAATATATGCCTTGAGATTATAAGTTCAAAGGCAAAACTAATAAAATCTCTTCAGGAAGTTTTTTCTTTCTTCTTTATTAGAGTTTTCTAATCAAACTGCCCAGGAAGAGATAAAAGCTTCCGAGAACACTTCAGACCTGACATTAGAAAGAAAAGGCAGCACAGCAGTACTCAAGAGTGTGCTCAGACCATCGTCTGCTACATCCTGGCTGAGATGCAGTGACCAAGCATGTCACTTCCTAGGACAGGCAGGCAGGCAGACCGCAACACAAGAACAGCCTTCTGCTCCTCATCTACTGCAGACACCCCACTTTCTGAGTCAGTGCCCCTCCCAACAATCTCTACCTGGAAGTGCACCAAATCAGGAAACACACTAGGGAAAAAGAGGGTTTTCTCATTCTAGACCAAAGGCGAGCAAATTCTTCCTGCAGAAGATCCAACAGTCATTATTTTTGGCTTTGCAGGCCACACTGCTTGTGGTAACCATTAGACTCTGTTGTCTTTACTGTGGAAGTAGCCATAGACAACACCAGTGAAAAAGCATGCAGTGTTCTGAAAACTTATTTACAAAAATAAGCAGCAGACCAAATGCTAACCCCTGCTCTAAACATTCAATTTTCATAAATTAGCAAAATTAAAAAATTATATTCCAAAGCAGAAAAGCAGGTGTTTGCTAAGAAAAACGAAACTTTGTTTTATGGAACTTAAGAGCTATCTTCAATATGATACCTATTTTGTGACATCTTAAATAACAGGCAACTCTATAAAAGAACAGCTGACTAAAGTAACATTTAGTTTTGAGAGTCTGGAGCCAGAGTCCTCTCCAGCTGCTTCAGTAACTCACAGCAGATACAATTCCCTCATCTATAAAAAGGAGAACATGCAGGACTTCTTCATTATTAACAGTTTAAAAGACTAAATGATAGCTTTAATAATTCAAATACTATATATGTTTACAAGACTTAAAGATTCATGGGCAAAACACTCCATGGTAATATCAACAGTTCAAACTGACTTTCCAGTTACAGGCCTTTCTTTTCCCACTCTTATGCTCAAACTCCTAACAGTGAAGGGATGAGCAACTGGAGCAAGAAAACACTTGCAGATCTTTAAAAATACTATATAATTATAGAAACTTATTAAATAGTAACAAGTAAAGTATCTTGTTATTTAGTTGCTTTTGTATTCTACTCTTTGGGACCCCGTGGACTGTAGTCCATGAGGTTCCTCTGTCCACAGGATTCCCCAGGCAAGAATACTGGGGTGGGTTGTCATTTCCTTCTCCAGGTAAAATACTGAATAACTAGTGTTTTTTTTTTAAAAAAGCTAATGAGAAAAAGGAAAGCACAAAACATCACTACTCTATCATTGCTAAGGTCATGTGGTCTAAGCTAGCATAAACAATAAAAAAAATCTTTCACCTGTTTGACATGCTTAATCTCTGAGCAACTCAGAAGATGTAGGAATCACAGATCAGGAAATTCAGGCACAAGGCAGGTTGAGAAACTTGCAGGCAGCAGGGCCAACAGGTTACAGAATCCCAGGTTCTCTATCTGGTCCTACCCACTCACATTAGAATTCCAACCAAGGACATGAAGTAATTAGGAAAAGTTCTTACCCTGATAATCTTCTGGTTTGTTTTTGTTGGATCCAAAAATCTTAATGGTAGGAAATCCCTGAACACCATACTGACCCCCTAGGGACTGATGTTTGTCTGCGTCAACTGCACCAACTTTGACAACATCCTGTGGAAACAAAGAAGGAATACCTGTTTTTCTTTCAACCAGAGCAGATTCCACAAGAACCCATCATCTGATGATACAAACTCAGAGACAAGATAATAAAGGGCAGGGTTCCATTTGCCAACAGAATTGATGACAGCTGTGGCCTGGGAAATCAATCCTAAACTGAGGGCTGGACAACAGGCAAGTCAGCCTGTGAGGAAACTCAGCAGCTCCCAGAAATAGCCCGACTAAGTACAATTATGCCACTTCACTAGGAAAAAGAATTAACGAAAACAGACAAGACAAAAATTAGAATGTACAGTATCTCCTTGTTCCCTACATAATCTTGGAAGCAGAACAAGAGTACTGGGCTTCAACATGCAAACTGACCGCCTATTGTACATTAAGCCCATTTGCTTAAACTTATTTCAACATACACAGGTGAACGTGAACATCCCAGAAACTCACTTTCAAGGCAGTTGCTGCTTTCTTCCATTCTGGTGTTAACCTCTGGCAGTGGCCACACCTTGCAGGGGATGAAAACACAAGGAAACAGTCAGTCTTTGATTCCATTTCGAGGAACACTCCCCAATGGGTCTCCTGAGTGCCATGGACTGGGGGTAGGGGCTTGCAGGGAGAACAGCACTAAAAAAAGACATGATCAGTGACCAGAAGGAGCTCACTGTTGTGATTTCACTACGATCCTTTTTTTTTTTTAAATCATAATAAAAACCTTCCAAATTACTGCTGAGTTAAATTGTATTTAAACAGTTTAAACAAATACTATCATTTGTATCTCCATCCCTGAGGGGGAACATCAGTGTTTACCTTGCTGAGTGTGCCTCAAGTGTGGTCTGAGTTCCATGCTAAGCAAAATGCAGATTCAGAGGCCCCCAAGGAATCAGTTCCTAGAGAAGGGGTTCAGGAACCTGTCTTTAATAAGTCCCACTAGTGATTCTTCAATCTGTTAAGGTTTGATAGCCCCGATATAGTCCAGAACTTTCATTTTATAGATGAGATGACTGTTTTAGAGCCTGGAGCTGTGGGGCCTGCGTCTTAATGTTCTGTAGCTCCCATGGCAGCTTGTGGAGTTAAAATGCACATGGAATCTCAAGTAAGGCTAAGGAGTGAAAAGCTCTGACACCACAAGGTGGTGATAAAAGAACTAGGGGAGTGAGACAGGGACACACAATACAAGGAAAACTATTCTTCATCTTTTAGGTACTAGTCCTTGGAAAAAACTTACTGTGAAATGTAGCACACAGACAAGTGCTTTAAAAAAATTATATATACAGAAACCTATTATGTGTGTATCAGTCATCCAGGTTATAGGCAGCTGTATTATTTTCATCACTGTATAATAATACCCACGTATGAAGACAGCATAGCTAGTTTAACTACAGGTGACTTTTTCCTTTTTTAAACGAAGTCAATTTTCTTTTAATTAGGTCTCTAAGCACCTAATGAGCCAATGCCACGTGCCAGCACCATGAAGCGCATTCTTCACACAGGATTTCATTTCATCAGCACAGCCAGCCTGCAGGCAGGCTTTGCGGTCCTTTTCATTCTACAGATGATGAAACAGAGCCTGAGAAGGTAAGAAACCCTTCCAGTGTCACCCAGTGACGGAGCTGCCCGACAGGTCTTCCTGACTCCAGATCCCACGCTCTTAGTCAGTATGTAACATCACCTTCCATGGGGGCCTGAGCATAATCCAATAGTTTAGAAGTCAAGATCTTTCAGCAAAGTGCCCTGAAATGCTGATTCTACCCATTGTATATTTTGCTATTCAGGTAAGCTACTTTGAAATCTAGGGGTCAAAATTTTATAGGACTTTGTGCCTCTTTAATTTCAATTTATTCTAATGAAGGAAGAACTTAAATCAGAGATTGTCAGAGTACATACACCCTGTAATTTCAATGTTAAGCAATGTAAAGACAGATCAAAATGCCTCAAATATAAATATAGCAGCACACCTATAACTCAGGGGTTTTTCACTGGGGTCCACGGACCCCCAAAGGGCTAGTGGACAAAAACTTAAGGGCTCTGTAAGTTTTGATGGGGGGAAAATCCTCTATTTTCATTAACCTATAATTAAAATTTAGGATTTCTTTCAATTATAAACAGTAATAACATATCATAGTGGGTTAGTACTTGTGACTCTGTCAAAAATAAAAATCACAGCTATTTTCTCACCACCACTATAGCTGGTGCAAGTATCTTTCAACATCATTTACGTCCATCACTATTTCAGAATTATGGTAGCTAGCTGCTAAAACCTGCTGCTGGACCCTGGTATTTATAGTCCCTGTAAACGAGAACTACAAAACCACATCAAGATTTACTTCGATAGTTTAATAGTTTAATAATCTTCTTCCATTATTTCAGGTTTCCTTTGTGATCCCACAGCTTTTATTCTATGCATGTAAAACCTTTATTCTAAGGAGGAACTCATAGTCTTTGCCAGCTGCCAAAGTTCAAACACACCGAGAGGTTAAAAGCACACTCTCTAATGAGACATTCTCTCATCCAGGATACTATGAAGCACAATTTTGCCAGATAACAATAATAATTAACTACTTGATCCAGAATCTTCTCAAGCATGCTGACTGGTTTTGTTTTGAAATGAGGTATATTTTCATATACTGCAGCTCCCCCAAAACAAGGTAAATTACTAATGCCATAAATGACAAAAAATATCAAACTTGTAAAAGCTGCATACAAAGGCATTCAACAATATTAAGCCTGTACAACTGCCATTTGTACCTTTATTAAAATGAACGAACGAACCTATAAAGAATTCTTATTTGGATAACAAAGAAAAAACAAAAGGAATTAAAAAAAAAGGCATTAAGATGAACAGTATTTTCATAATGTTGTAACAAACTTTTAAAGTAAAGGATTTTACCATGATTTACTACACTGAACTGATACTCCGTTTCTAAAACTGTTTTTTTTTTCCAAAGAAAACACTGAAAAGTAATAAAGGAAAACCTTTCATCAGGCATTCCCTAAAAAGTGCCTGCTCAAGGACAGTCTGTAAGAGTTCTACTCACTACCCGCCCTGCCTCTCAGAGGACCACTCTGGACCTCAAGTCAGCACACAGCTCACCTGCAGATACTGCTGGTGGTGCTCCATCTCCTCTCAGACACTTGGCACCTGCAGTTTGCAGCAGTGACAGTCTCATGCCTATTCAGCACCGATTGCATTGATGTTTCTACGTGTCTATTTGTTGGGGCTTTGGTTTTGTTTTCATTAAGTATTTTAACAATATAAACGATCAGTGCAATACTGTGTATTTTGACTGTGTAGATGACCCTTGAATAATGAGTTACAGATGCTGCTGACCCACTTGCCGCAGTCAAAAATCCACATATAACTTTATAGTCAGCCCCCTGTATCCACAGATTCAACCACAGTGAATTAACTGAATTAACAGTGAATTAACTGACTTGTGCAGTTGTAACCTGTGTTGCTCAAGAGTCAACTGTGTGAAACCGTGCACTATTCATTTCAAAGGGAACTACATCTTCACTGCAGGAGGTTTCTTTTCTCCCCCCAGAAGTGTGTCTTCCCAAAATTCCTTCTTTCTTGTAACTATTAGCTACTTCCAGCATTTTTTCGTAACTGACTCAAACTCTCCACCCTTTAATAGTCAATCAACCCTTTCCCTCTTATGTCTGTTACTTTTTACCATTATGAGATTTCTTTTCATTAGCATTACCTGGATGTGTCCTCTACCTCTTTTAAACAATCAGTAAATTAGGTAAACAAGATAGCTAAATAAAATCACATTTTTATTATACATAGTATTTTCCCTAATTTTATAAAGTACCATAAATAACTGACAACTATTTTATAATTACTTACCATGGAGCATAGAATTCTACAAGCCACAAACTGTCACTTTGAATAACTTCTCGGTTGAAGTTTGAGGGGGTTAATTCAATTACATCATCACTAGACGAATACAGACCATTAACTGTTATAAACAGGGTACAGCTCATCAGACCTGGAATGACAAGAAACATACCATCAACAGCAGGGTTCACGCTCTGACTGGAAAAGTCCTTTTCAATTGACCAAGGCCGTTCACAGAGGAGAGCCTGGGTCAGCTCTCTCCTAGCCCCCTCCCTCCACTCCCCTACTTTCAGCCTGGCTACTGTTGGAGCCCCTGGGATTTTACTCTCTCTGGGACAGTGCTGAACAAGAAGGGAGCAGACGGCCCACACCCTCATCTCTTGAGCTGTGTTGGGAACAGATTTAAATACTATTCTTAGTGCTTTCCCTATGCTAATACCTTCATTCTGTACAACCACACTCTATGAGGCAGGACTATTACTGCCATCTTCTGGGCAAGGGTGCTGAAAAACTGGGACGTTCCATTCAACTCTGAAACCCTGGATAATCCTTCCACTATTTCCTGCATTATTCAGATGCATTATTAGCATGCTATCTTTATTAAAGCTTTTTGATGGGAAAAATAATTATTTGACTCTTCGACTAGACTGTGACTCTCTTAAGGACAATGATTTTTTAAGTATCTTTCTTGCTACTAACATTATCCATGGCACATCATCAGGCACTCAAAGCGCTACTGGATGAGCTCTGAATGTTCACGTGAACAACTGACAAAAGGAGGGCAGACAGTCTACTGAATTATTAACAGTTTAGTCACCTTGCGGACCAAATTTCTTTCTCTGGCTACTCATATGCCACCTAGGTCACAATTTCATATGCTTACTTTGTAGACAGGATTTAGATTTCATGTGAAACTTTTTAAATAACCCAATGGTAAACTTCTTCGAGAAGGAGTGTATACTGATGTCAACTGTTTTATTGCTCAATCCTCCACCTTACACCTGCTAAGGCATTCTGAACTTTCAAATCACTTTCAAATACATTGGATCCACTTGATTTTTCACAGCACTACTAACTAGAACATGGGAATCATCCTAATTTTGGAAACAAGGGCAGATAGAGATCAAATGGCCCATCTACAGTCACACCTAAAACTGGTGGAGCATCTCTGACTCCTATTTCCAAGCTCTATCAATGAAACCATGTTGTCCTTTCAGTACTCAAGATAAAAAGGTTCAGTACGCCATGGGCATGAAAAACAATTACACTGTTTGAGAACACTGCATCTGAATTACATATGTGACTAGCATGGTGAGAACTTCACCATGAACTCTACCACACTGTAGGAACTTCACTGTGAACTCTAACAGTGATGTGATGCCACTAAAGGTTATCATGCAATGGGTATGATCAGACTTGCTTTCTATACAGTCTTCTGGCTGCAATGTGAACAGGGGATGGAGAATTATCAGGAGAGTGGTTTCACATAAACCGAGGGCAAGATGAAATGAACTACAGTAACAAAGGCTACCAGGAGGTCAAGTAGCCAAGACTGAAAACTGCCTACTGGATATATATTGGCAGAGAGGTCCCCAGGGCCCCGGGTGGTCGTGGTAGAGAAGTGAAAGTAAGCAGCAGTCAGGCTGCACAAGGTTGGAAACAGCAGGAGGGAACAAGCTGGTGAAAATAATACAGTATCTCTTTAAATAGGTTTCTTATAAAGAGCAGGAGACACCAAGTCAATGTGGGATACAAGGAAGGTTTCAAGGATGGGAATGATTTGAGCATGAAGGGAAGAAATATATGGAGCAGCAGAGGCTACTACAGGGAATAATGGAACAAAATGCCTGAATTACAAGGAGGGGAGTAAACCCAGAGTCAGAGAGAGGGGTATCTTGCCACAGGATGAACTCCTTCCATTTCAAGAGGTGGGGAACCATGAGTGTGGACGGAGATGAAGCCAACCAAAGAGAAGCTCCCTTTATAACTGCAGGCCAACACAGCAGCCACTAGCCACACGGGGCACCGAAAGGGAGGCGTGCAGGAGGTGTAAAAAGCATACTGAATTGCAAAGACTTGATAGAGGAAAAGAGCAAATTATCTCGTTAGTATTTCTGATACTGATTTCCTCTTGAGATAATTTAGATATACTGGATAAATAAATATATATTAAAATTAATCTCACCTACTTCTTTTTGTCTTTTAAATGTGGCTACCAGAAAATTTTAAGTTACCTCATAAATTAAGCATTGTATTTCTACTGGGTGGTGCTGCTTAATAATCTTTGCTGCAGAAAAGATTAGAGTTGGACACATTCACTAAAGCAAGTAAATCAAGAACCTAAGTAGAGACCATCCTAATTGTCAGTAAGCTTGCGAATAAAACTGGTCTTAGAAAATATTCTATGGATTTTTAAAATATATTTATCTTCTTTAAAGGAAAAAAACTGTATGAATTGTTATTTATCCAATACATTGAGCTCCTTGCAAAATTTTCAAAAGTAAGAAAAAGAAAAAAAAACTATCAACAGTCCTGCTAGAATGAATTATTAATATTTTGGTAGATATTGTAACTGACATCTTTATACATCATACAGAGGTTTAAAATTTTATATAAATGTCCTCTTATTATACATTCCCTTTTGTAACTTTTTTCACTTGAAATAAGTTACATTTTCCACATAAGTAGCCCCCATGTAACCATTTTTAATGGCTGTATCATGTTCCTAATCCACTACTGACATAATTTGATGGTGTACATATTTTTTTTTCTATTAAGAGGCCAATGCTAAAAATTCTATTTATTCTCAAATAAATTTGATTATTTCCTTAAGAAAAAAATCTTACAAGGGGTATGGGGTATGGCTACCATTTTTATATATGTACCTGTTCAACTAGCCTCCAAAAATTGACATCTCAACTAAGAATAACACTTATAAAACACTTCGAACTGTTAACTCATTTACTCTACACAGTATGTATCATGATGCCCATTTTCAGCCCAGGAAATGGAAACACAGAAAAGGTAACTTGAGGGATTTCCCTGGTGGCCCAGTGGCAAAGACTCCATGCTTTCAGTTCAGGAGTCCTGCGTTGGATCCCTGGTTGGGGAACTAGTTCCCACATGCCGCAGTTAAGACCCAGCAGAGCCAAATAAATAAATAAATGTTTAAAAACAAGAAAAAAGAAAAGGTAACTTGCTTAAGGCCACATAACTAAAGAGTAACTAGGTACCCATCCCCAAATTTTAACCAAAGGACTGAACCCTGCAGGAGTAAACCCCAGAAGGGGCGTTCTACAGACTGTGCAGGGGAATCAGTTTCTTTCTCTTCTGTCAATCGGGAAGAGCAACGAAGAAGGCACTCTCCTCTTCATGCTGTTCCAAGCAGGCTGGAGTCATTACAGTATGTTTTAATGACTGTTTCACTCATTAAACAGTGATTTTTGTTCAATTGTTCATCTCAGGAATGTGGTACGAAGATGGGCATGCCTAATGACACTCAGTATAACATAAATTTCAGCTTTTTTTCCCTCTAGTAATGCTGCTGGGCTTTTCTAACTTTCTATAAAGTGGCCTGGATCTCACAAAAGCACCCCCCCCCCCATATAATGGCTATCGATGGAAATGTCTTGATAAAGGTTCAAGAACTAAATTCTTTAAGAGGCAGTAAGACCTAGTAGGGTTAGAAGGAAATCAAACATGCTACTCCAAAAGCATTAAAAGGTGCACAAAATCCAACAGCAGTAACAGCAGTCAGTAACTAGCCCCTACAAAACCCCTCAGCTCACTTAAAATGATAAGAGTAGGTCAATGTTGATCCATAATGATCTGTTTCTAATATTCACATGGTCATACCACTCACTGATAACAAGCACCAATGGGAAAATGGAACATCCAACTGTCTAGAAGCTTTGTGAGCAGATGGTTTTGCCATCTGTGGCCTCCCATTATTCCTCAACAATAGTTAAGGATGCTATAAATCTACATCAGTAACCTTTCTGTACCTCACCTGCTAGCAAGAGTACATGGTCCCAAAAAAGTCATCTAGAAACCCAGAGCGCGCCCCAAAAGGCTGACTACCTTAAAATAGACGCTTTCAGAGCCCTGCCTGAATTCACTTGCAGGCAACTAAACAGAGACTAAGTTCTTCGCTCCTCATCTATTCTCCCTACAGTAATAGGGCAAATATTTCTATCTTGCTTTCTCTCTTTAGGTATATATATACACACAAACTCCTTAATCCCGAGAACAATGCTAGGGAGTACAAGCCCCGAGTGGTTAAGTAACTAGCTCCCAGTCACCCAGCTAGTAGATTCGGGGGACTGAGGCTGGGACCCAAACCTTGCTCTCTGGACCAGCGTGCTCAGGTACCCACTGTTACAGCGCCTTGACTGGGACCAAGAGGGCCAAGGGAAGGAAGGGGATCCTCCATCTCAGTACTGAAGTCGCTAAGACATTTACCTTAGTCTGGGTTCGATTTAGTTCTGAAAAGTTCAATCACATCTAAAGCGCTCTTGCATCGTGAAACCCGCTTTAAGAAGGTACTGCTGCCTTTGAAGGAAACTTCTGATTGATTTCAGGACTGGGTTTTGATATTTCAGGTTTTTCACAAGTGGGAATTCCATAAGACAGGTGGTGAGGGCAAGCTGCAGTATGAGGAGCCCGTGACTTCCCCCGAACACTCGAGGCCCAGAACAAGGTCTCCCTTCCAGATGCCCCCCTCCTCCCAATCCCAATACCCAGCCACGGTCAGGGACGAGCCATAGTCGGTCTCAGGGGGCTCGATCGCAGCTCCCGGCCTTCGCTCACATCCGCCCGCCCCTTCACAAGAACCCGGAGTCCGGCACTCGGCCCCCGGCTCGGGGCTGTCCCCAGCGCCCCAGGTTCGAGCCCAGCCTCGGGGCTCCCTCGCGCATACGCTCCACTTCCCACCTCCACCCAGGTGGGATGCGGTCGCCCCCGGCCAAGGGCTCCCACACTTTCCCGCGCGCCCCACACATCTGCTGGAGGGCCAGCGCGGGGGGGAGGGGAAGCTCCTGTCAAGGACAGTCTCGTCTCGCGGAGCTCCCCCACCGCCCCCGGGGCTGCCTCTGCGGCATCCTCCGCGAGGACCCGGCCCGCGACCCTCCTAGCCAGCGCGGGGCCCGGGCAAGGCCAGGCGCCCTCTTGC